AATGGGTTGGTTGTAATTTGTATTCCTAAATTGGTATTTTTTGCTAAAACGTGAAAATTTGTAAGTCAATAAAATTATTTTTTTAATTAAAAATTTTGAAAACGGTTCGGTTCGGTTTTATACGGTTTTTTAAAATTGAAACCTACCAAACCATTTTGAAACGGTTTGAAGGAAAAAAATCCCGAATCCACGTGGACTCGAACCAACGGTTTCAAACTAACGATTTCGGATCGATTTCGCGATTTCGCGATTTTTTTGTGCAGCCCTATCGTGTAATAGTGAACTCTTGCCACAAATTTGACCTACAATGTTACACGTGATCAGGCACTACAACATTTAATACATTTTATGACACTTAAATATAACATTCTTATGAATAATGCTATAAAATAAAAATATTTTTATCCAAATATAATACAATAGCATTTATTAAAAGGCCCACTTAGCAGCCCAAAATAAACCATATTTTCCTTTCTTCCTTGTCGATTCATTCTCAAATTATTTAACTCAACAAATTCATTGAATTCCTTCAAGTACACTTTACACTTTCTATCCATCAATGGCACCAAAGGCCAAGAAGAAGCCAGCCGCCGATAAGGCTCCGATGGAGAAGAAGCCAAAGGTAGGGAAAAAGCTTCCGAAGGGAGGCGCCGCCGCCACTGTGAGACAAGAGAAAGAAGCGCGCGAAGAAGAGTGTGGAAACTTACAAGATCTACATCTTCAAGGTGCTGAAGCAGGTTCATCCTAACATCCGGATCTCGAGCAAGGCTATGGGGATCATGAACAGCTTTATCAGTGATATTTTTTGAGAAATTGGCTCAGGAGGCGTCTAAGCTGGCAAAGTACAACAAGAAGCCGACTATTACTTCTCGAGAATCTCAGAACGCTATCCGATTGGTTCTTCCAGGAGAATTGGCAAAACACGTCATGTCCAAGGGTACAAAGGTTGTTACCAAATTCACTAGCTCTTGAATTCATAGTTTATTAGGGTTTTCCTTTGGGTGTTGGTAGGGTTTGAATTAATGATTTACAAGGTTTCTGATCTGTAAATCTGAATGTAAAGAATGCTTGAATTTAACTTCATGTGATTCTATTTGAGTGTCTCATTTTTTCATTCTCAAATTATTTTCTTCAGCGAATCAATTCTCTGCATCGCTCTCTTGCCCACCAGCCATGAACATGCATAAGAGCTCGGGATAATCTGATTCTCATGGATTTCAGGTCACATGTTTTCCTTAATCTCTATTCCCTAAATCTTTTCTTTGTAGTTTCTTAATAATTTGTTCATATTTCATCATTTCTTTTTGCTCTGTTCTATTTTCATTTTGTGTATACCACTTGTGGGGGATTGATAAAACATTCTTGTTTCAAGACAGTAACTACCACGAGGCTTGCTGATAAGCCATTTTTGTTGGTTTATTTTATCACATGGAAGTGGCTTGCTGATTTCTCAATACTTCATTTTTTTCTGTAGAGATGATGTAATGTGTTACAAATTACTTTGTTTAAACATAATTTATCACCACTAGAATACTCTTAAAGAGTTAATTTGTATTTTTCAGATGCATGTAGATCCTTTTGAGGAGATTGAGATTGCTGAGAAAAGTGCAGAGGAGCATAGAAGAAGTGCTACTGAGAAGGAAGTAAGCACACATATTTATCATCTTGTTGATGCTATAGTTCATAATTCTTTAGTTTTTACTCTACTATGGTAATGCCTCTGGCTTTTATTTTTTTATCCTATTTTATTGCTCTCTGTTACTCTTACCCAAAATTAGCTGTTGATGTATCTCTGCCTCTCCCCTCTTCCCACACTTTCTACTTGATGTTGGTTTTCTTCTTCCTTTCTTAATTGTTTCTTTTAGTATTTTAGAGTTTTTACTTTTTTACTTTA